CATGAAGCTCATGTGCTGGGATATGCTTATGGCACGCAACCACGATCCGGCCGTGACAGGCAAGACACAAAGGTCGATGTGGGACTATGTCGAGGTGCTGCGGGACTTTCGCGTTGTGGTCATGATCTTCCAATATTCTGCGTGTCTTAGCACAGAGCTCGCAAAGAGCAAGCATTTGGTTAACGCGCCTGTGGGTGTAGCACGTTCGCTGAGTGTGGTTACGGCGACGGCGGATGCTGACTCAACCAATGTGGAAGCCGGCCTGAGGACAGCCATTGCCGGCTTCGGCATGCTGGTTTGCATCTGTTGGGATAAAGCTTTCGAGACAGTGGCCGAGGACACTGCTATGGCCTCCACAACGACCTCTGGATGGATGGTAAGCTGACCGTCGAGGCGTTTGAGACAAAATGAATCGCGAGTTAGTGTGCCTGAGGGAGCACCTAATGTACATTGGGCACAGTGCTATGGCTGTGTGGGATTAGCCCTGTAGCTTGCCTTTGCCCATCCCTAGAGGAATAGGCTCAGGGCAGTGTAGCGGCGCAGTGACGTTTGAAATTGCTGCGTGGAGTCTTGCTCGTAGTTCGCCTCATCTGACTCCGTGAGGAATATGCTCGAGCGATGAGTCTGCAGTTGCGTTGTCTCAGGCGTGTAGTGTATAGTGGACTGCACAATCCTTGGCCTACTTACCTTCCCTGCCTACCCCATTTGAGCCCTTGGCCGTGAGGGCCATGTATCATGGGGCCAGGCTGAGCACAAACACATGTGCGCGAAAAAGTTTATTGTCACGCGCCTGCATGATTTTGGGTGTGATGTGCTGCTCGTGCTACGGTTTTTGTGCTTTGAGCAACCGGCTTTATGCACCGCTTCTTCCACACCTTCTGTGCGACCGCTCACATTTCTGCGCCATGCACTATGAAGTAGTTCGTGAGCGCAAACTGGGGGTCCCGCACTTTTTGGATTAATGCATGCGCATAGGCTGCGTCCGACTTGGACTCTGTGCCTTTGAAAGTGAAAGTGAATGCATGTATGTATGTGTGCATGCATGCATGTATGTCAATGTATGTAAGCAGAGTCTCTTCTTCTTTTCCGGATGTTTCCTGTCTTGTCCTTCGGTCGTTGTTCGTGTGGCCCGGCCTCCCAGGCCTCCTCGCCATCGTCCTCCGAACCATCATCCTGGTTTTCGGTCGCCATGGGTAATACACATAGAACTGTGACGGATGATGATGCGAGTATCAACATCGCAAAGCCTTACATCTCCCAGCCCCGGCGCCCCCACCTCGCAAGCACCGGCTAGGAAAGCGAAGGCGTTGTCCACGTGCGAGGGCGTCTTTTTGGTGCCTTTGGCCTTCGAGGAACGCCCGGCTTTGCCCTTGGCCTCCTGCAGATACCACGTGCGGAGAGCTCTGAAAGAGGAAGCATGCGTGCTGGGCGTGCTGTGCTAGAGCGCTTTCATGCAACAAGGTCCTTCTTGCGAGGCCTTCCCGCGCCTCGCGGCGCTTCCTGACAGTGCGACGCCAAAACCCTCTGTATTGGATGAGGGCAAGTGATTCAACTGATTCTCTTTGGCTTAGCGTGTCCTGGTCTTCTTCGTCCGAGTCCTGGCACCGAGTCTTGAAAGGTAATGTGGCTGCTACAGTGCTTTTTTGGACATCGGCGTTCGGTCAGGAAAGCACCCGCAATATGGGTGTCTGGAGATGCCAAAACTTCGTGGCGGGGCTTCGGGGCGCTCGTCTCTCGCTTCAGGACACAGAGAGCGGGTTGTGAGTCTGCCCCTGAGCGAGTTCGCGCACTAGCAGTTCGAGGAAGGTGAAGAACAGTAGGGAGAATGACACCTGCTGAACCGGCTGTCCTATCAGCAACCACTAGCCTACTTCCCCAAACCCGCCTGTCGTCTAAGCTTACGGTGCAGGTCTTCTCACTCCTAGGCTGGGGCAGCCAGCCACCGGTGTGGCCTGCTTTACCGGCTGAACCCATCGCCAGCATAAGCACACGTCGCGGCTGCTGTAGTTGGATCACGATCGCACACGACTTCGGGCTGGCCGGGCTGCACCGATTCGTGCTGCACGCCACAGCAACCAACACCAACAGCACAGCAATGGGACATCAAGCCATCGATGATTTTCCTGCATGGATATGTACAACCCTACTACCATCAATTCATACATCAATCCAAGGCATGCGTGCGTACATGCATACCTGCATACACATACATAGATACATACATGCACAAGTACATTACAAAACACATACAATACAGACATACATACGCAAGGCATGCATACGTCACATCATTCTCGCAGCTCGGCTCCTCCGAGCCCCGGAGCAAGTCGAAGGCGTCTTCTGCCAACGCACGGCGTGCAGGCCCGGGCTTTGCCTCCCAAAAAAGGAAGCTTCAAGGCGTAACTCTTGAAGGGAGGGGCGATTGTTGGGCTTCAAAGGATGTATTCCGAGGAAGGGAATTTAAAAAGGTACCAGATTTTAACAAAAATCGGCCGGGTTTGGGTCTGGAAGACTACTTTCAATTGCAGAAGGATTTCGTATGGGGAAAAGGGAGCGCATGTAAAGACAATTATTTCGGGGAGCTTCACAAATTTGCTTGCTGCTTTTGATACAGAAGCAACGCTGCTTTATGAAGCATGCCTTGCTTTTCGGCAGAGGCAGAGGCTGCCTTCCAGAGCCAAGCTTTTTCCAAAAGCTGAGGCCCTTCAGAAAGCTAGGCTTTCTTCTTGAAGGTCTTATAAAAGGAAGCAATTTTTCATTCTTTTCGAAGCTACCCCTTACGGGACCTTCCGGGCAGCAGTCCGAAGCAGATTCATAAAAGGGACCACATTTATGGCAAGACTCCGGGCAGGGCCTGGCTGGAGATTCAATACATTGCTATTATTTTTGATACAATAGAGTCCAAGGAGCCGGGATGAGCCAACAGAGATTCCATTAATGCCGTTCCCGCCATCCTTATTCTTGGGCGGAGGGGAGGCCCTCCTTTGCGGTGTGACCTGCATAACTAATCATGATATATCGTGATCAAGGCTGCGACAACTGGAACTGGAACTGACAATGCTGCTACACGGGGTGGCTTGACATGGTCTACACTGACCAAGCGGAAGAGCTTTCCGCGGCCCTTACGCACCACAAACATCAAATACCGTCGACCCCAAAGTCGCTCCTTACAAGGGCGGAGTGCCTCCTCTTCCAACCGCCGCTGTGCCCCCTGCTCCTCCTCGCGACGCCGCTGTTCGTCCTCCTCTTCTTAGCACGCCGCTGGAGACAGAACAGCCCTCTAGGCTGAACATGGTATGTAAGATTTATAGAATAGAGCTTAAGCATCTGCACCGGCAGGAAGTTACAACCCCGATAACCGATGTCATGCACGGTCAGCTTGGATTCAACTAGCTCCTGTTCTTTGCGCCGGAGCTCTTCCTGACGCAGCTGGGCTTGCCGAGTGCCAGGCACTCTCAACAGGTCGGGGGCTCTGCAGCTGAAAGCTTCATCCCTAACCACTTTTTTTCCCGCAGATGCTCGACCTTCCAAAAAACCGAACGACACTTCAGACTTTATTGCTGCCGCATAAGACGTCGAATACCAGTCTGTGCATGTAGCTCTGGCTAGCAGCTGCTAGGGATAACAATCCGCAAACCACGGGACTTCCCCTCTACCATGAGACATGGATCATGTCGACGCCTTCGTGGATCAAGTCCGCACAAAGGAAGCTACAAATCTCGGGCCCGTGAGGGCAGCGCTAAACTAATAAGGGCATAAAAGCGGCCCTTGGGTTTAAAAACGAAGCGGTATCCACTTGTAAATGGAAACCCTCGTCTCTAATTCGCAACCCGGTGCACTGGCAGCATCAGGGTGCACGACTTCTCCAGCTGCCCAATGAACACCTGCATTTCCTTCCGCATTCTTGCTGCCAGTGCAAAGGGATCGATCTCTGCGAATGCGCAGAATCACCGGTTGTGGCGCAAACAGCCACAACAAATCGAAGGTGTCACGTAAAAAAGTTTTCCTGAACAAATGTAAGAAGAAAGGGTGCTGCTGAGCCTGTGCCTCCACGGCTGGGAATCACTCGTTAAACACAGCCCCAGTGCCAGGTGCACGGTGCTCAGACAGGCATCTCCAGGGAAAAGGCTCAGTGGTGAGGGAACATTTCGCGGTTTCATCAGCCTGTGTAGTACAATACGGACAGCTCGGAACTGAGACGGCCTGTCATCATGCGTGGAGGCTATGCTCAGGGAAGAAGCAGCGTTCAGCAGTTTCATTAGCCCTCAAAGGTCTTGCAGTCTGCAAGAACATCATCGCTCACATCTACGTTGCGATGCCCACAATGCGCTCAGGATCTGCAGATGCTTAGAGGAGCCCGGTTGCATGGAAAGACCCAGATGTATCCGATATTGATAATGTAGGGCCAAGGAGGCAAGTGTGCTTCGTTTGGACAACGCTAGAGCCTAGAGACGAAATCGAAAAAAACAGTGCTTCACTCTCCGTAACCTGGGCCTGGAAGAGAAATCAAGGAAAGGCAAAACCCCCTGCCGGACTCGTTCAAGCATCTCAGGTGCAGTTTCGCTCACTGCGCACCTGCGGTGTCGGACCACGAGAAGAGATGAGTTGAACATGACAATAAGCATAATAAGCAGTGCCTTCTCGTTGCGAAAGTGGCGGCGGCTCCGTGAAGACGCGGCGCAAGCTTACAATGTCCTCATATGGCAGCACATTCACCGATTCATCCCATGACCAAGGTCTCGCGCTTCAATCAGAGTATCGGCAAAAACCGAGCAATGTCATCTGCCGAAGCCTGCAGGGGTGCCGTCGAGTGCTTATACCGTGCGGAAGCTTCGTACATGATGTGCAGGTGTGCAGTGCTCATCTTGCGGCATATGGACGAATGGACAACGTAGCTGTTTGCTCGACGCTACTTTCAGACTGCATGTTTTCGTGCAGTACTGGCGTGGGCTTTTGACCTGTCCTCAAAAAGTTGGGGAGCTCTCTCCAGATCGTCGCGCAAACGATCCTGAGTTGCTCAGTCTGTGACGTTCTACATTATGTTCAACCAATTTTAATGCCAACGAACACTATGACTTCCTCAGGTGTGTAGTGGTAGGTAGTAACAGCAGTACAAGCTCTGACAGTGGCAGTCGGCGCAGTAGTACCGCTTGTAGCATCGGCAGCAGCAGCAGTAGTAGCAGCAGCAGCAGCAGCAGCATCAAACAGTGACAGTGGTCATAGTCATGACGGAGCCTGCGGGTGTCCTAGTAGCGATGTGTTCGTTGTGGTCGTGGACGTAGCAGCAGCAGGAGCAGTAGCGAGATGGCCGAGGATGACGAGCACCAGGAGGACTCGTAGCTGTCGCGGTGGTGGATTTGGTGGATTGTGCAGCCGCAGTAGTAGCGGTTGTGATTCGACATGATTCGACACAGCTTGGACCAGCGCATAATTCAAGTAAGTATCGTTTCAGTTTCGGCAGGAGCGGTTGTGAGCAACGAGAACCATGAATCCCATGTCGAGAAAGCCGATGAAAAGCCCAGCACAAGCATGGGATTATAGACTATAGAAGACTCAGAGCCAGAAGATCAAAGTCGCCATCATGGCCGTCTCAGGACAATGTCGTAAAAGCTCTTAGAGACATAGCTGCCAAAGATTGCCAAAGGGGCCATCCTTTGGAGGTGCCACTCGTGGATGCTTCGATCCGGAGGATATGGGACGCCAGGCTCCTCCCGAAGCCGAGCAGCGAGCCCACTTCTCAACTCCTAAAATTCTGAGGGGTGCGGCAGCTCACAAGGCATGTGCTGAAGACTGCCATGTGGCTATGTGAGCCTTGGGCAGTGGCGACTTCATGGAGGACCAGGCCCGAGCCTGCGACCCGCAGAAAGCGCAAGCTCTTTGCTTTGCTTTGCTTCGGGGTAGGGCTACGAGCAGTCCTCGCAGCGGACGCAGTCGCGCAACCCCATCGCGCAATTTTGTTGGATGGGCTCTGCTCTGCAATGGACTCACGGTCCGAACAGCCCCCGTGAGGGGACACAACAGCACGCACTCCCTGCTCGCTCTCTCTCTCTGTCTGGTTAGAGGAGGTAGGCGGCGCCACCCCCCCCCCCCCCCCCAAACCGGAAGGTTCTCTCTCGACGAATTGTGCCAGTGGTGATGACTGCTGGCTCTGCCCCGAACCCAGGAAGCTCGCAACCCAGCAACCCAGCCGCAAAAGCAAAGGAAAGTCCGACCCGAAATTGCACCAGAATACGGGCAAGACCGAAGAAGGAATAGTCATGACATAGGGCACCTGGACGCCCCCCCCCCCCTCCGAGCCCGCAAAGGCAGCAGTGGGCACACCCATGAGGAGCCCAAAAACGTCAAGCCGAGGCGGCTACGGCACCCCCCCGCCTCCAACTCGGAATCGTCTTCCTGAGCTTTTTGACGGCAGAAGCTAGGGAAGGAAGCTCCCTCTTTAAGCTGCGCAGTCAGACATCTTATTTGTTGTAATCCAGCTTCTTGGTCCTCCACAAAGGTCGTCTGCTTGCCTTCTGGCCTCAGTGCAGCTTAGGGTCTTCTTAGTCTTTCACTAGGAAGATCTTGCTCGGTACCCGTTGTGCCGGCCTGATGTCGAGGCTGCCTAAACCAGTGAGACTCGCCTGCGCAAATTGCGTCTGTCAAAGACCAACTCGGTGAAAGGTTGGCTTAGCATGGACAAGCTGAAGGAGCCTTGTCCAGGCGAGGGCCTCTGGCCCACATGCAATAAAATAAAGCCCAAGTGGCGCGTTGCCTTGCGAATCGTTGAACGGAGTGAAGGCACTAATGCTCACGTCGTCGAAGCGGACCGTCTGCGCACCCCTGTGTCAGTTCCACTGTTGCAGAATCTGTTAAGCACACCAGCCAACGTTACAGATCAGTCGTGCAATCGGCAGTGGTTCCTTGCCCGGTGATGCCATCCCTATGGTTCCAAATCACGACATCGATGCAACTGCGGCTTGCGTTGTCTCTTCGTCAGAAGGAGCCCTTCGAGTGATGACAGAAGGCGACCTTCCTGCGCTGCCCGCCTGCATCTCTTGCCCACGAGTGCCGCATGCTCCTGTGAGCCGTGATGCGGCGGTTTTTTTTGGCACTCCGCTTCACAAAAGTCACTCTTGGACGCTTGGCGGCCCCAGGAGTCCTGTGGATGGACCTTCGAGGCGGCTGCGCAGCCCATGGCAGGCGCAGCAACCACAGCAAGGCTTAGCGGCTTGGCGGCTTGCCCGCACTACATTCGATACCCCAAACCGTCTCATGCCTGAAACCTCGTTACTATCTTGTTGGGATACTTCAGCAGCGGTAGCTCCCTTGAGCATGCAGTGGCCAAAGGATGCAAAGCCCTCCAAGCTCCAAAAGAGAATCAGGCATCGCTTCTTAACAAGTGTGCGGCGTGCGTCTGCAGCAAAAACAATTGTCGTCGTGGTGGAGGCAGCTGTGTTGCCATGGGAATGAGATTGCAATAGTCGTCGAGTCGTCGCAACGAATGACACTGACGACCACAAGCTTTAAGGAACCACGTCCTCGAGGCGCTGCTGTTCTGCTCGAAGGCGCTCCTGCACCAGCTGGTCTTTTTGACCGTCGCGTTCTCTAAGCGGCCTTGCCAAGAGTTTAGGCAAAATATAAAGCAATAAAACAATGGATAACTACATCTATGAACAAACACCAAAAAAACAAACACACACACACACACGTGCGTATACAGGTGTGCCCATCAGAGCAAGGCCCTGAAGTCAGGCAGCCCCGGCCGAGCTTCCAAGAACGAAGGTGTGAACTGACCACGACCAAGGTTACGTAGAGTCAGAGATGTGGCCTCCAAACAACCGATGCTTCGGGGATCTTCGCAGCGACGAGGCTCCGAGGCAATTAAGTTAGGGGCATGCATGTTTAGAATGGGGTTGACATATAAATTTAAAAAGAGTCATAGTGTAGAAAGAGTCTGACACTCTGACTTAGACATAGACCGCTAGACCTTATCAAGCAAAAAAGAGTCTGCAACGACCGAGACATGCCTCCTCCTGACGAAGCTCTTCTTCCCTTCTTCGTTCCTATGGGAAGGCGACACGAAGCAGTCTTTTGGCGCTTCCATTGCCTGCTGTCTAACAAATCTCGCTCGCCTTGACTGTGCTGTGACAGCTTCCACGGCTGGTGTTGATGCTGCTGGTACTGGCTTGATCGAACTTGTTTCTGATGCGATCAGAAGACTAACAACTCCAGGGAAACGGACATGCATCCGGATACTCGAAAAGAGCCACACGCGGTGGAATTTTAACTGAAGCTGCAGGAGACGAATCGAAACAAAGGAAGGACCTCAAACTCAAACCTTAACTCCTAAAGCAATCTCCAAGTGATCAAAAGACTTGAATAACGTTTTTTCGGCAGGTCACCTCCTCCTCACGTCTCCTCTCCTCCGCCTTCCGCTGCTCCTGCATTCGGAAGGGTGCTTCCATGCATGACTCATCTACGTCTACGTCGCCTTCTTACAGATCGGGGTCTTTTCTGGTCACAAGCAGAGATAACGCGCCGGGTCGTTGCTTTCGTTGCTTTGGCGTCGCCTTGAGCCCGAGCCCCGAGCCTCTTCGAGCCGCCGCGCCTCCTCCTTCTTCCGACGCTCCTGGCAACGGGTTTTCCAGGAGGGTGGCCTTCCTAAGGCGTGCAGCGAGGTCCGACGGTCCCAAGTCGACTGCTTTGTTGCATTGTTCGTTTGCTTGACCTGTCGAAGCAGCGGCAAATCCATGCTCCTCGTCACGTTGTGCCTGGCCTGAGCATTCGCGAGTCTCCGGGAAGGTGCCGGGAGTTTTGCGGTTCAAGTAGACTAAGGAACTCCCCTGGCCATAGCCGCCATAGTCTGAATCACCAATCCCTGTTTAGAGGGCCCTGAGGAAAGGATCATCACCGTCATTCGTCACCAGAGCTTCGCAAGCCATGAGCATCTCTGAGCTGCGCATCCTTGTCGAGGCGGGCACGTTGGGCAGCCAACTCTTGTTGTCGACGAAACTTCGCCTCAAGAGCTTCGGACCAGCATTAAATTACCATTTGCCCCGAGTAGAGTCGCTCGAAGCCCTTTGCTCCCCCATCTGCTCCAGGATTCCCGAGCCACCCCGTGATCGGCCCGGTGGCAACGTAACTCGCAGACTCAGTCCCCGCCCCTCTAAAAACTCCACGGGGATCGAGGCACCAAGGCACCTCCATCTCCCGAGCTTGCGCGGCCTCGCACCTGGCACTAGCAGTCGTCAGAGGCACGTTTATTCTCTAATTGTAGGAGCTACGTGGAACTGAAGGAGCACTCCATGCACTCCTTATAATCAGCAAGATGCCACGGGAGTTGAACTAATCGTCAACAATCGACAGCCGATACCGACCTGTCTTCCAACATGTAGCAGGCCCCTGAAGGCAGCTCCGCTCCACGACTTCCCCAGAGAGCCGGCGGAACTCCTCGGCGATCCGCCGCTCTTCTGCTCGCTTGCGCTCGGACTCCTGGCGCAAGGAGCCCAAGGCTCCGCCGCTCGGCTCCGCTGGCACCGGGCCCTGGGCCTGCTTGTCTCGGCGCAGACGTTCCATCCTCTGCTCGGGAGGCGGTGACCGTGCTAGCTCCGCCTGTGGTCGCTGGGAGCTCCGGGGTCCCGGCGCACGCTCATGCTCTTCGCGCTGCAACCGATCGGCCTGCAAGAATGCAATGTAGCACAAACGAAGCCAAGAACCTGCTGCGAAAGCTTCGCTGCTACAACCTTTGAGTATGGCCGAACTTCTCTATACTCAATCAACATGTTTGGGCTCGTGGCCTTGCCATGTTTAGCGCTGCCTCTTTGTCGGCACGGACTACACCCCAAAACTTCGTGTATCGTGAGGCCACGCCCGGTGCTGAGCCAAGCAAAACTGACACGCCTGTGGCTCTTCTGTACTGTACCCTGCGGAGAAATCCGGCCCTGCAGCAAATAGCTCCGACCTCCTCTTGCTCACGTCGTCTCTCCTTTCATGGTTGCCGAAACTCTGATCAAAACAAGTGTCCACAGAAGCAGCGTGCAGTCGGCGCAACAGCCGCTTGATGGCTCGTGGATGCCAAAGCGAAAGGCACTACTTGCTACTTCGCTGCGACTGGACATCGTCTTTTGCCTGGTTTGCAGCTGGTGACGGCACCTGTGAAAAGGTCTGGGGGGCGACAGATGCAGTCTGAACAGCAGCCCACCCATTCCGGAAAGAAAGGTATGGCACGATTTACTGGTAATGAAGAGCTGGGTAATGGTGGTCGGCCCGATGAAATGAGGATAGGGCCCGGACAGGGACTCCGCTGTGTGCGCATTGGGGCCGAGAAGCATGCAAATGCCCCCACAAGTTCCACCAACCATCCAGTTTGCGGCGATCAGCGCAAGCAGAAAGCCCAAGAATCGAAGTTTACGGACAAAGCCTGAACGCTTGTTAGTTGACTCCGTACAGAGTCCCAACTTTCCGTGTCCGATTCACGTGACAAGCGCTCCTCTTCTTCCTCCTCCTCTCGCCGGCGTCGCTCACGCTCCTCCTCCTGCACGGAGGCTGCGATCAATAAGCAAAGCGGTCCACACGGAGTGATTGAACGACACAGCTGCCCAGGCCTCTCTCCTCCGTTCCTCCTCTAAGCGCCGACGCTCCTCACCCACACTCAGCCGCTCGGGTACCCTCGCTTACCAACCAGAATCCAACGTCTTCTTAAGAAAGAAAGAAACAGAAGCGCCCCGAAGCAACACAAGGATGGACCTCCGCTTCTCGTCGCCTCCTCTGCAGTTCCTGGAATCCATTGAGCGGTAGGGTAGAAGCTGTCTTGACCAAGCTGCGAGCAACGGCAAAACTTCACACTGAGCTGCACTTGCCTGCCGTCTTGGAACCCAATTAACAAACCCTCAGAGAATTGCAGCAAGGGGTGTAGAGGATTACTACTGTAGCGAGTACCAGTAACGATGGAACACAGCGAGGTTAGTGTGTGTGGTCTGGGGCACCCCCCCGCCTCGGCCCTCTCTGCCATCGCCTCGGAACAAGCTGATCTTGCACTTCGGCTTGCAAAGCATTCCCTTGAACGAAATGGAGCAGGTGGAAATGGAGTTTGGGAAGCACGGCAGCCCTTCCTGCTCCGTGTCCTCTCAGTGTCGAGAATCAACACGGTGAGATTGCAAGACTCTGGAGTGCGATCGGAATGGGTGGGCCAGTGCACATTTCTACTATTGCTTAGTTGTATTCTTGCACTAGCCGTGCCACTTGTCCTTTACATAGCACGGACTGGAATGTCGAGGTCGGCGCCGCGCGCTGCTCTTCATGCAAGGCCTGTTGCGAAATGCTTCTTGCAGAATATTACTGAGCTTTCTGGGGCTGTCTGATCAATGGCTTTGCCGACGGCTTTGGTCCAAGTAGAAACTCTCGCGCCCGAACGAAACTCCAATGCCAAGCCAAGCCAGAAGATCTCGAGCCCCCGTCGCCAGAAATCCTGTCAACGATCTGACACAGGGAACGGTAACATGCAGCCCCCAAATAATTAATTGGATCATATTGGATCCGAAGTCTGCGCACCCAACGAATGCCCTTGGAGGCCTCGGCTAGGTCCAGCATGGGCTGTTGCTCTTTGCGCCGTAGCCTCCTTGCAAGCGCTGTGTGAGTGAGGGTTCTGTCCAGGTGCACAGTAAATTCAGGAAACCAGTGGAACAAGATGATGAATGGATGGAGCTGCTGCCTTGCAAACACAATTTTTGGACGATTCGGCGGCTTCTGGAGACAAAACCCTCGGTGAAACTAGCATGGCATGTAGTCAGCGACACAATCGCGCTGACTGACCATCTTATCGACTGTGTGCCCTCAGCATGGCAGGACTCACTCACGACCTACCGGAAGGAGGCATGCTACGGCCACGGCAAACCATCGATTTCGCGAGCGTTTCCTCTGTCTCTGTGCGTGTGTGTGTGTGTGTGTGTGTGCGTGTGTGTTTGATGGCATGAAGGTAGTTGAATTAGCTTCCATACTCGTAAGATATCGTGGAGTGAGTGACGAGTGAAACCGCAGAGGCGATAGCGACGAGCGAACGTATTCTGTTCGCGGGCTACCACGTCTCAAACTCTCCAACTGTTTATGCCAGCTCACATTGCGGTCAGGAGTGGGTGCGGCCCTGCGCTGCCTCCTGCAGCATTCGTGTCACCTCCGCGTGGCCGCACTCTGTGGCTT